TTGAGGGGGTTTCTGAAAGCTATCGAAGACTTTGAAATTCGACAAATCTGACATGAACAGGCGTCGAAATTTCGACCATCGGATAACGGAAAATTTTGAATGCAGTTTTATCAAGGATGCGATTACAAGCGTTTAGAGACTTGCCACTTTGAAATCGGATCAAAATTGACAAATTGGTAAGTTTTCGAAATCCAGTTTTGGGTAACTATACTGAAATCCATTGAAAACTTGGAAATTTCTGACATGAATAGGGTTCCAAATTTTGACTATAAGAAAATGAAAAATTTTAAATGCAGTTGTATTAAGGATGCGATTACAAACGTTTGGAAATATACCACTATAAAATGGGACCACAATTGGAAAAGTTGTCGGCTCTGAAATGGCCGTTTTGGGTCACCCTGAGGACGTTGTGCAATGCTTAAGGAAATTACCCACTCACCCACTTTAAGATACATTCGCGAACAAAGGAGAAACTAATGAAAACAACACGAATCCGAGTCTTTCCGCCGAATATCTGCATGTGCCGCGTTGCTTTGTGCGCCATCTTTTTAGCGGGCTGCAACAAAACACGCTCAACTATTTTGCATTTATTGCTGCAGTAGCTGGAGAGTCCTTTTGTCGTGAATAATTTATGAAAAACTAGGAAAAATAGATGCACATTGTTTAGCGGCCCGGCATTGTCTCACTCTGCACACTAATAGCTCAAATATTCAGCTGCAAGAGCTCCTCGGATCTCAAAGCTTTGTGCCAGAATGAAAAATTGAAAGTTTCCCTGCCAAACAGCAGCTAATTTCATCTGCCAGTGGGACTGGAGCACGACTACTCGTAGATGCAAATGCTTATCGCGAGAAACTTGAGCCAAGTATTCCATTGTGTCTTTGCGATCCGTTCGGAACGAGACTCCAAATTGCCAAAGCATTTAAACTGCAGATGAAGGGCGAGGATGGTGGTGGGAGAAGCCACAGATGGGGGAAATTTTGCCAAGTGCTCCGGGGCGACGACTTCTGTGTCGGAGTTTGGCAACTGTTTGTCAGATTACGCAAGCTGCACTCCTTTTTTCCGAGAGCTTGCATGTCAGATAAAGGCCACTTATGTAGCATACTCTTAAAATACGTATTACATAAGCAAGCCTTTGGGCCAGCAGTTGAGTTGGGGTGAACATAAAGCCAACAGGAGCGATCGACCGAGTGTTTTACCACTTGTGCGGAGGGTGCCAATTAAATTCAAACCGCTTGCGAGCTTGCGAGCTCGTGAGTCTCCCAATAATTTCGTCAATGAATTATGACAACAAATTGGCAGTTAGAAGAGGGCCGTCCGCCGTCCGCCGCCCGAGAAAAACGGCTCGTGGCACATGGCACATAAATTCGGAGCCAAATTACATGGCGAGTGTAAATAGGGGGCGTGCTGGGGGCCGGGCTGAAATTTATGAGAGCCACTCAACCGGCTTTCAAAGGGTTTTCGGGGCCCAAGTTAAACAACTCGGCAGGGCAACTCGATTCAAGACTCGGGACTCAGAAGTCGGGCTGAGGATGTGTGCCACGCCTTCGGGGCGGAAATCCGCAAATGTGCAAGTTAAATATTGAAAAGTATTTGTTGATTGTACGCAGCAAACGAACATTTTATTGTATTCGGGCCGCACTCAAAGCAGTCAGCCCCGAGAAGTCGATTGGCATCCGGGAAAGAGGCGCTCGAAGGCAGATTTACAAATCGGAGCGATGCCCCAGAGGCGCCGATGCTAAAAGGTAATGCACACACGTGTAGCTGCCACAGGAACAAGCTCCCAGAAACACTCGGCTGGAACAAGGACATCGCAAATCGGACTTTAGGCTTCGGACATCGGACATCGGACATCGGACAATCGGAAAATCGGCATTGAAGTGAAGGTCCGTCTGCCTGCCTTCTAATCGAATTTAAATATTCAAATGAACGGACTGGCCGGAGCAGAAGCCCAGTTCCCTGGGAATCTCAAATGGAATGGCAGGAATTTTTGTAATTTGGCTTGCTTAGTGCCGATGCAGAAGCCGAGATATGCATATGAAAAATACACAAACTGATTGCATTTCATTTGCATCCTGCATTCATTTGCATTCGCATTGTTTGCCGCAAGAAAGCCGCTCGCAAATAAATGACAACGTTTCTGATCCTGGGCTGCTGCACTCGCACAACTGCTGTCAAATGTGAAATGTGAAATACACTCGCAAATTCGTGCGTGCCACCCAGCTGCGCCTCGAGTAATTTGTCGGATTTGTTTGACATTTGTGGGGCTTGTGCGATTATGTGGGATGCGCTAACTTTGCCGAAAATGCATGTTAGTATAATGAGGAGAGCGAGCTCACACAGCTGCATGCTCGACTAAAATGAACTCCCAGGAAGTAGTTACATGCACTCTTTATACAAATGTGTGCAAACAAATATATACCATTCTCCATTTAAATGCTTCTCATAACGATGTGCACACATGCCCTGTAGCTCTATTAATAAAACAAACTATTCGTGAGCTTGGTCAATTTAGCAAAACAACAAACATTTTACTGCCTTCTCGATTGCAATTTGAAATCTATTATTTTGAAGACAGCTGTGCGAGCGCAAAATGATTCCGCTTCGATGAAATCAACCAGTAAATCTGCCGAATGCATTTTTAAATCGAAAAAATCGTTATTCTGCGGGCGGAATAAAATGCACAGCAACCGAAAGCCTTTTATAATTCTATCAAATGGAAACTCTGGCATTTTAATTGCTTACAAAAAAGCTGCTTCATTTTTATTAACATTTTAAAACGGAATCCATAATCTGAGGCCGGGCATATTAAATGCTTGTTGTCGAGTGGCTGAGATGAAATGGCTTTTAACCCCAGCCCGAACTCCGCTGAGTGAGTGACTGACTGCTGGGAATCAGTGTCAATGGTTGGCCGCAGTAGACACGTCTGTGAGAATCGCTCGAGAGATGACAGCGCCGGCTGGTCGTGTCACCAATTTCCAGCGACACATTTCCCTGGCAGGAGGCACATTTTAATAAAGCAGCCGTTGTGGATCGCACTCGGATACCCACTCGGATAGCAGCAGATACCCGGAATGTGACGGCTGAAATCGCTTTACGGGCCAAACTTCAGCCGTTGACAGATCGGGAACAAAGTTTGCATCTGCACGGAGATAAGCCGCCAGAACAGGAGAAACTTTCGTGGCATAATTATCGCTATCTCCTGATTTTAGGGCCACTTAAAAGCGTCAAGCGGCGAATCGCCTTGCCAATCAAAGCGAATTGAATTCAGCTGGCGGCACATTAAACCGTAGCGCTGAAAAGTGAAGCGCTCAATGAAGACCGATGGCGATGGCGATGACGATGGCCATGGCCGAGATAATCTGATGGTCGAACGGGGGCTCTTTTGCTCCGAAGCGATAGCAATTACCCATTGGCCATTGGCAGCCGGGACACGTGTTCCGATTAAGCGATATTGCCGCGGAGCATAAAGTATGCTAAAGTTGTTACCCAGCATCGATTGGCCGACTGACTACATTGTCTGCTTGTCTGCTTGTCTGCCGATGCTACGTTTTGTCGGCTTTTGGCGAGTGTTTTATGGGCACGCGGCGTATGCGCGATATTGCTCACTATATCAACTGAAAAAATATTTAGTGCATTCAACAACGGGCAACAGCAACAAATGGCGGGCCATATATATTCCATTCGCGCGGAAGAAGTGCCAGGAAAATGGACCGGCACAATAAACGGGTGCGAGGCGGGTGCAAAATGGAAACATGCCACCGCCAATTTACCCTGATTCTGCAATTGCCGGCGCCTTTAATGCAGTCCGTAGCAACATGGCAGAAGTTTCATTAACTCGCTGCTGTCCAATCCCTGAAAAATACGCCAGACAAGCCAGGAGCAGGAGCAGGAGCAGGAGCAGCCATCGAAGTTGGCCAAGAACAAAAAGCCCTGTCAAACCAATCAACTGTGGCTAACTTTTGGCCACAGAACTTGAATTACAACACAGAAGGCGGCGAGGAGCCCTCGGCAATGCGACACGAAGGAGCCAAGAAAAGCCAAGAGGAAAGTCGACAAAGTGGGAAAGTGGAAAGGCAGGAAAGCGGGGTGGGGGGGAAAAATGGGGGAAAAAATAGTCAACTGGCAGACACAAATGAGAAATCAAATAAATACTCAATCGAGCGTAAAGCATTCAAAGCGACAGCGTGCCAAAGAGCAGCAGCAACAAATGGGCCGTGCCATGTCGGGTTAAGCCAACTCGATGGCAATGCCAGTGCAGCCAATGGGTTAAGTGGAGGTCGGCGGGGTTAAGTATACGCCCTGTAGTGCGGTTCACCTTGGCGACGTGTGCATTTCGCACAAGCTGTCAGGCGCATCAATCGAAGAAAACCCCCCAACAACCCCAACAACCCCAAACCCCCTCAACCCCAAGCAAAACCCAAAACGCTTATGCAATTGTTTCCCGTTTCCGTTTACGACACAATACAAAGCATCTCGAGTGTTTATAGGAAGTCGAAACTTTCCTCGCTGCGGAACGTGATCGGGTTCGTAATTTTTAAACAGTCCGCAGCGTTTTGCCGAGATTTACGGGCCCGCTAGAAATTAAGCCACTGAGCAGCTCGGGAGCAGCTTAACTAGCCCTGGGAAATGGGACACGCAGGACGCGAGTCCTGGGGGGTGCTTTAACTAATTTCCAATAAACAGCTCGAAAGTTTTTTAGCGACGCGCGTGTGCAGGGGAAAGCGGGGAAATGGCTCAAGACGCGCCCCATGCCCCAAAAAATACAAGAGTGTCCCTGTGTGAGTGTGTCTCTGTGTGCGGCACAACAAGGATATCCACTTATACACATGCCTCTGTGTGTATATATCTGTGCTCGGTGGCGCGTGTGTTTGCGTGCTTGAAATTCATTTAGAGGATTTATATGAAAGCATTGTCTTGCATATTTAATATAATTTACAATGCGAAATGGCAACTGCTTTCGCTCATCCAGATCCCAGGATCCCCAGCAAAAGCGGGCGGCATGGGGACAATGTGAGCCATGGCATACAATTTATTATACTAAACGTCAATTTGGTATATCGACAATCGACTTTGCGTCGGCAAACAGCAAGCAGCAGCTACCAGCTCGTCCCTTCCGCCATATCGTGTATGCAAATGATCCCGAGAACGAAGCGATACCCTCTTTTAGGAGGAGAAGTTTAGGATTGATGTTTGGCAGGGAGCTTCTTAAAAAAAATATATTATATAAAATACAAGCAAGTGGAAGATAAAATTACCTACAAAATGCAATGCAATCCGCCTCTCTACTTTGTATTATTATATAGAATTTGATACTTTTCTTATTGAGTAGCTTTAAGCTCTATTCTAAAAATCTTTTTTTCGTGTGTTGTATTTTCTTCGCCCTGTTAAGTATCCACCCGTCGACAGCCTCCCCACTTGCATTCTAAATTATATTTCCAGGCCATGTATGTGGGGCTTACACCAACGGCTTATCTGCTTGTTTACAGCACAACAGTTTTTTTCGCCTGTTTATTTTGCAAACAAGGCGACGGCGGCAAATTTCATTTGGCACTTGTTGAACTTGGCTTATGACATCGCACGCATATGGTTCCGAGTCGGCCAATTAACGATGCGTCTTTGTCAATAATTCCGGTGAAATTGAACCGCCACTTACACCGATTCGGCGGTTCGACAAATTAATTTGTGGCCGTGTCGCAGGGCTCCGCTGGTATTTATAGGCCGGCTAATGACACGTTGCGCATACGACATGTGGCCCGCAAGACAAGTTACTTATACGCCCCGTGCACTCGATGCGGCTGCTAATTAAACGCGACTAGCGGGGACACACAATCGAACCTCATTAGGCGCCGGCCAGTGGAAATCTGGCTGTGATGCCTGTCAGCCACGTCAAGGGTCTCCCTGCCACACTGAAAAAGAAAAGTTCGCCGGGGGTGGAATCATTAATTTATAAGTGCGACCGGAACTCTCTAACTCCGATGCAAAACCGATGGAAAGTGGAAACTTTTGCAATTTGCCGAATGCATTTTGGCAGCCACCCGAAACTCGACGCTGCGGCATTTTGCGAACAATTGATCTCGATTCGCATCTTAATTCATTACTTAATAGAGTCAACGTCAGACTGACTGGCTGCCTGGGTGCCTTGCTGCCTGGTTGGCGGTTAGGGAGCAAAGTTTGCTTTGGTTTCGGCTCTCGTTGATTACATTTGAGATGCATGGCCAATGCAAATGGGAGAGGGGAAGGGGGAAGGGGGGAAGCGGAACTGAGCGGAGCGGAGCGGGACGTGGATAACTTTGCATTGTGTCATTTGCATGCGGTTCTGTTGTATGCAAATTGCGAGTAATTGGTGTGAAACGTCTGCCAAGAACGTGACCCCTGCTCAGCAGACACCGAGTCCAGGCGAGTCCTGTGCGAGCACCCAGTGCGATATGCATTCATTATTTATAAGCAAAATATCATAAAACTTAAGAGGAGAAGCAGAACAGAGCAGCCAGCGGGCGTTGCAAGTTGCAACTACTGGGGTTAGTGTTGTCACGTGTCCGGAATGAAATCAGTTCAGTTTCTCGGGGGGAGATGTACTCGTACTGCATCTGCGAGATGGATGTCCAGCATCCTCAGCAACAGCTGTGGAGGTACGGGGAAATCCGCGCTTGGCCCACGGGCCATGGCCAACTAATAAACTACATAGTTTACGCATTAAGTCCTGGCATAATTTCGCAGCAAACGCTCCAGAGCAAAGCGCTGAGTGGCGAAAGGCAACTGAACTGTCGTTGTCCTAGGAATCGGCCCTCAATCGCCAGGACACGAAGTGCTGGCCAACCCAAGAGAGAGAGAGAGAGCTTTTGGGTGTACTAAACCAGCTAAGAGAAAGGAGCAACCCCCGAAGAGCTGCACTTACGATATTCGGATACGATATACGGGAGCTCTGCCCCCGAAGTCCTTCCTTATGCATGCATGTAAAATGTAAAACCGAAATTGTTATTTGTGCAGTGCTCTTGTTTAGGCAACAACAACAACAAGAGCAACAACAACAAGAACAACAACAAGAAGAAGAGCAGCAATGACAGCCATGCTAAACACGACTGCGAATTGTTGAACAGGCTCGCAATTTCCATTTAACCAGCCAAGTTTCGCATTAACCGAACGCTCGAGCTAATTGTGTAGACAGTCGGCTAAACTGCAGTTGCAACAATTTGGTACCTGTTTTTCCAGAGCACTTTTTTCCTTTACCCCTGTCCGCTTTTCCCTTTCCCCCGGCTAATTAGCTGCGGAAAACAGCGAAGGGGCGTGTCGCGGCGGCTTATAAATTACGCCATCAACCCAATAAGTTGGCACCCATCGGGGTTCGAATGGATCGCATTGCAACTTTGAGGTGTACTGATGCCAATTTTAAAATGATTTATGCACACTCACCCACCCCGAAGGCAAACACTGCGTATACGCATTATATTTTGGGCACCCCAGTCCAGTCCAGTTCGTGTCCTGTCCGAATATCTCCTGCCCCACAAGTTAATTAATGTGCGGTCAACAAGGGTTTTTGTGGCTTCCAGCTGCTGGCCCACAGCGCACCAATTTATGTTGCCATGTGTTTTGCATTATTGTGGCCGAACATGCTTGTTAAGAAGCAAACGTCTGCGGCGAGTGCATATCATTTAATAAGAATTTTAATGCAGACGCTTCGCCCGGAGTGCACATTCGCATTCCAGCAGGAAATTGAATTCCTGCCTCGTCGTTTCATGATGAATTTATGTTGTGTGGTCAAATTAAATAAGACATTAAGTGCTGCATTATGGCTTGGCCCGGGCCGAGTGCATTCTGTTCCAGCCGGTTGGCTAAGCCAAATAACTGGCCAAGCCGAGCGAGCGGCGAGCAGGCAACAGCTAGCTTGCCGGCCCTTCAATTTTAATTAGCATTCCAGCCACTCCGACTGACTGCCCGACTAGCTAACTGGTTTGCCAGCTAGCTACTGGCTCATAGCTATAGGCTGCTGGGTGACGTCAAGACTTCTTATCCCGATCCCACTCACTCAGTCACTCAGTCACCCAGTCACTCAGTCACCCACTCACGTCCAGCGGCAGATAATTAACAATAACAACTACGACACTCTTGCGACAAAGCCGCCGACCGAAAACATGACATAACAACAAGCCGCCGAGCTTATTTGCCTGGCAATGGTCAGCAGTTGAATTAGCACCGGCTCCTTGGGCCCCGGTGGCTAATTAAAATGTATTGCTTTGTTGTTCTGTTTTGTTCCCCGGCACAATCCGGTGGGATGAATTAGCAGCAGGGCCTTTAAAGACTGAACTTTAGCTTAAGGAGAGGAGGTGGCTCCAGTGGGTGGCATCAGCAGCATCATTATTCAAAGAGGAGACGTTCGGGGAAAGTTCCCTTGGCGCGCTAACGATCTGCCAATGTCGAGCTGAAGACGAGGCTGAAGTTGAGGCTGATTCTCAAACTGAAACTGATGCGAAATCGACCCGAGCCAAACAAAACCAAATAGAAGCAAAGCGAGTCGAGTTGAGTTGAGTTGAGCTAAGCTGCGACCATGCACCATTAACGATAACATCATCAAAGAAAATCCTTTACGACCATGTGTCACGTCAGAGCGCTCCCACCCACCTACCAACCCATCCACCCCACTGAGCCGCCACCCACTCGTCCTGCGAAGGACACACATCCTCGCTGGGAAGAGCGCAATAGAAGCCTACGCTTCCTGTCACAGGACAAAACGCACAGCAGCAAATTGGCAGCAACGACAGCAATTGCTACAAAAGGGACGACCGCCCGAATGGAACCCGCATCCGAGAGTCCTGGCGCGGAGCGTCCCGGCCTTCGAACGAACATCCTTCGGCGCCGGAGACGCACGTCGCCAAAGCTCAACTGCACACACATCAAAAATAAACCATCAGGCCAAGGCTGGTAAAAACCGACAACAAAAAACGACGACATATCAACATTAGTCAATGTCGTGTAAGGGAGTACCCGTGTCTAGGCCACCCTATCTCCTGTTTTATACACCCAGTCGCTGGAATAGAGGGTATACAGCATAGGTGATCGGGTTTATTAAGCTGCGATCTATGAGATATAAGCTGTAAGCTCCTAAGATTTTCAAACAGCTTAACAGCAAGAGTTCTTTCAAATTAAAGCAATATTTCCTTTTATGCCTTCTTAAATCGGAAAACAAAATTTAAGTACTGGTGCTGTACAAAGTATATGATACAATATGCAGAATTAAAAATAACTCTTATCAAGATCTGAACTCTTGCCCATATTTTGTGTGCTATTTTAAGCCAAATCCCCTAAGGGGTGTCTCGCTTTCGAGGCGCCCTACACTTTTCTTTTTTCCCTGTTTTTCTTTTTTGGGTTTCGGGCTGTGCAGCTGTTTTGAATAATTGCGCTCCGCTCTGCTTGTGGATTTTGTAAAGTATGAAAAATATGCGTGTCTTACTTAGAGCCGCGCCAAAGGCCTAATGAAGTGCTCAGCCCCGAAGGGCTGCGCTTTCCGCCCGGGCCAATAATTAAAACGTGTCGGGCCATTCCTCTCAATTTGCACCACTCCGGTTGCGAGTTTTTCTTCGATTTTTTGTCCTGCCACACTAGGTGGCATCGTTATGACGGCTCGGAGTGCCGGAGAGCACTCCGGCTGTCTCCGATTCAAGCTGCTCCACCGAACTGGAGATGCACTTGCACGAGCTTGTCATTTATCAGGGGCTCTGCTCTTGAATTTCAATGCAGCTTATACAATTTGCCGTAGTTTGCATAAAAGCAAATGCTGCCACTCGGTGGAGCCGTGCCTTTGTGTGTTCGCCGATGTTTGAATGTTTGAATGTTTGCTTAGTCGGGGAAATTTGCAGCAGTGCGAGAGGCAAGCACGCACCGCATTCCCGATGCGATTGGCAGGCAATGGATTGAAAGAAGCCGCTCCTCTCGAGTTGCAGTGGCAGTTGCAATGGCAGTTGCAGTTCCAGTGGCAGCGGCTGTTGCAGTTGCAGTCGCATTTTCCTCGCGAGTGGCAGCTCCTCGTTCCGCCGCTTCTTATATTGACTTGCACTTTGTGGCGCTTTGCGGTGTTGCGTTCCGCATACGAAATGCCTGCAAGACAATTCGCCAAAGGCCGCGTCAGTGCCAGCAGCAAAAAAAGGAAACAAAAAACAATTTTCGGCTTTGAGTGCATTTCACTTTCTGGGTTTGCTTTCTTTTTAGCCAGCTCAAAGCGGTAGAAAAGGACACTGGCCTGAAATAAACCTTTACTTGATTGCTTAAGAATAAAATCGTAATACAAATTCTGCGGTTTACTATTTCTTTTATATCAGCTTCCCATTGAAAACTCAAGGTAAGCCTGCAATCGCTTATTAAGGAACCTATGCGTAAGAAGTTGGGAGAATTTGACATGTAACAGGTGATTTGACCCAGCCAAGCAATGCAGACAATGGCAAAGAGCGATAACGATAACTTTATCCCAAGATTTTTTGACATGAGCAAACAAATAAAGAAGAAAGCACGCAACAGCCAAAGGAGCAAGTCTGAGGAAAAGCGGAGAAAAGCAAGGAAAAGCGATGGGGAGAAAACGTGGAGAAATACAAAGTGCTGTCATTCATTGTGCTCTGCTATTTGCCAAGGCAAGGCAGTTTCCCCCTCCCCCTCCCACTCCCTCTCCCCCTTCCGCCCACTTTCCCCCCTGCCTTTTGTTTTCCTTGCGACCCCACCCCCCTGGCAAGGACATATGTGTGTGTATTTGCGTGTTGGTGTGTGTCCAAGTCCAAGTCTTTGTGCGTGTGACGTTTTATCTCTGTCACTAAATTGACACTTTAGTTAATGGATTTTGTGTGTGTGAGTGTGCTATTTGTGGCGCTTACTTTTTATCTGGGCGCCTTGCTTGCTTTGCCACTGTTGCTCCTTAACATATCAGAAGGCGACAACAACAACAACAAAAACAGAAGCAGCAGCCACAACAACAACAAAAACAGGAGCAAGAACAGAACTCAAAAAGGACACGCACTTGCCCGAAACGTTCCGTCGCAACTGTAAGTACTTTGAATAATAAGAATGCTCACTTTGATGGATGCGCAACAAATCTCTTTAGATTTATCAGCGGTACGTTGACAACACGGCGGATGGGTGATAAGCCCTCCCGTACCTCCACCTTCACTTGCAAATTCCCCAACAATTGAGGGATTATTCACGTGCTCGTATCAATGCACACGATTTGTTACGACTTACGTGTCACTCTCACTCACTCACTCTCTCAACATTCGGGTGTAGTGCTAAAGTGTATAAATATTTGTTAAGTCTACTCTATGTACCTCGATTTCGGTTAAACAAAATGCCTCGTCGAGTAGTCGAACTGAACGGATTTGAGCCAGCCAAAAAGCCATGCCCGCGTAAGTCCCCCGTAAAAGCGTTTGCACAGCTGGCAAATGGAAATGCATAACGTATCCTGTATCCTGCAGGCAAGTCAAAATTGGATCCCAAGGGCAAGTGCGGCGCTGCCGTCAAGCAATCAAGCATCAAGCCGAGGGAGCAACCTGTTGAGCCGAAGAGCCCACTGCAGTTCCTCCAGAAGAAGTCCGATGCCGAGCTCGTCTTGCACTGGGCTCGTTCTGAAGGACGCACCTGTTCCCCCATTAAATTGTTGCCTCCCTGGTAGAAGCAGTGATAGTAGTGTGCAGCGCACCAAATTTACGATTGTTCAGACGCCCTCTGAATTCAGTCACATCAATAAAAGTGGATGTTGAGTGGACAAATCTTACAAAGTAACCCGCCGACTTTTAACCCAATCGATTAGGAGGTACAAAGCCTTTCCCTGTATCAAATTAACAAACTTTTCTGAAATTATTATACATCCTCTTTCAACCCCAGGGACTTAACGATGGAAATGTCGAGGTCTTATGAAGACTTTGCTTAAGCGCATTCTGCGGGGAGCACATCATATAGAGACATTAAGCTTATTTCCTGGATTTTTTTGAAGGGCGGAAAACAGGCAAAGAGTGTGCGCCGAGTTCAAAATAAAATAAAATATTTAATGCCCTCGGCTTATGGGCTGGATGGCGATTCGACCAGGCCGGCGTGCGATAATACACATGTGTATATCTGTCACAGTGTGTCAAGTTTTAAATCGGCTTTCGGGTCGCCAGCAGCTTCAATTTGACGCAATAATTTATATGTGATTTGGTCGCATTGCGGCGGCTTGTCTCCGTGGGCTCCGTGGATTCGGGGCCGGGATTTGTAAGTTCTGCTGACGAAATAAGCAAAATAATAAATTGCGAAAGTTGTGTCACGCGCTTCCGCGGGGATTTGGTTAATCGAATATGCACACCTCGGGACAGGCTGCCTCCAATCGCCAAACGCCTTTCCCCACCAACCGACTACTCATCATCGCCGTCGTGCGCAGACCCTTGACACATTAATTGGCCAAGTGCAGTCGGCAGAAGTTGAGGGCTCCTTTCACACCGCACACTCGCCGTATTAAATAAATATATGGTTTCGCCGTGTGCTCCATTCAGCCAGCACCCAGGTGTGCTCAAAACTGGCCAAAGCCGAAGTGGCAAACTTTGCTCTGAAAGCGCCAGCACATGCAAGTTGCAACATTCGCATTTCACCAGTAACCATCCAGCACCAGCAACCTTTCACCACCCACCACTTGGCAACTGGGTGCGAACTTGGCCCAGCAAACTTTTCCTGTTCGGCTGTGGATCGCTTTAAAGCGTCTCTATTTGTGCCACTGGCAGACTGGACAAGAACACTCGAAGAAATCGGAGTACATGTACTTCTAAATCCATTGCTGAATGGGGGAATTTTTAAAACATATGTATGTCTGCTATTAAAAAAGAACCTACTTCTTTTGTAATTAACAATCGCTCCAGTTTATTTAATATATTTATCATAATATAATAGATCATAATGTGCAGCTAGGAAACGTAAATAACAGAAATTGTTGTACACCTTTTTATATTTTACATATTTAACTAATCAATTAAATGATCCGAAAAGTGAGATGTTTTTTTTGCGAGTGCAGAATGGCGACTGGGAGCGGGCTTTGGTGACCGGGTGCTCATTATGTCGAGGGTATCGCGCTAAGTGGCTCCTGCATTGGGAATGGAAACTAAATGAATGGCCGCTTGAAATGCCTTGAAGCCCAAAGGATTAAATGCTCGCTGCACACACAAAGGCGGCGGACTGCCACCGCATTGTGAAAACAACTCATTTATCATAAGCGTGCTGCAGTGGGTGTAGAGGGGGTGGATGAGGGGGTGAGTAGGGGGGAAAGGGGGGGTCAGGGAGCGGACTGAGGCTTACGACCAAAGTAACTGACAACTGCAGATGAAATGTTGAAAGCGCGAACTGAACACACAGCGCAACAATTAATTGTCTCCGCATTCATTCGCCCTTCGCCAAGATGCCAGCTGCTTTTTTATGGTTGGAGGGGGCTGCTGGGGGTTTGAGGGTCAGGGGTCAGGGGGAGCAGGTGGGCGGTCACTTGGTTACGGGTGCGGCTGGTTGCCCAACCCGGCACGCAATAATCGCCCGGCATTTGCCCTTAATTAATGGTTGAGCGCAAAGTAATAAACGATATTTAAACAGAAATTGCTTTGTTTTTTCTGCTCTGCTTTTGCAATTGAAAGCAGACGGAATTCATATTTTATGCGGCTGTCATAAAACTTTAACAACTATTCTGGCCAAACAAATACGAGCATAAAACAGCAGCCATTTTAATTAACCCAAAAGCTTAAGCATGCGATAAAGGCATTGGCCAATAATTACTTTCCTTTAATTAAAATATTTGTTATGAAGTTGCTGCTGGGTGGCAGGAAAAAAACTGAACGAAAGGCAACGCTTCAGATCCAGAAAGATAAATTATTTTAATGATGACAGACGACGCTCGGGTCGTCCTGTGCGTGCCAGGACAAAAGCCAAGAAAAGCCGGGCCAAGGCTGCTTCCCAGGTAATCAGTGGAGGGAGCAACGTGTGATGACAACGGGGTGTGAAACTGAGGCTCGGTGCCCACAGAATTTTTGCAATTATATCGCTTTTAAACATCTCCATCGGATCCACCCATCAATCAGTTCGATAAACTGCGCATTCCGCTTGCCACTTGCCGCAACATGACCAATCACTTTCACCATTGGCAACGATCTAATTAATTTGTTGCAAAATAATTTATTAATTAGCATGTCAGTGTCAGAGATTTTCGGCCACGGCTTATCATTAAACAAAGGAAAAGCCAAGCAGCAGATGGCGAGCGGAGGGGCGGGGTAAATAGGCAATTAATCTGGCTCAACTGCGGACAGGTGTGCGCGAAAAACCTGCATAGGAAACCAGGCCGATTGGCCGTGTTTCGCCGAACAGCGAAAACAGGGAAAATCAGTGCGGGAAACTGGCGGAACGAACGGTGGACGGCCAGCGGGAAATTGAACGAGCAATTATTTATTAATTTAACAGACACGCAATGCACACGGAGTTATCTCGATGCGATCCCTGACATCCGCTCCGATTGCGAGCAATTCCAGCTTGCATCGCACTGCAGTCGAATGTCATCCAAGGATGCAGTATCCCACTCCCATTCCCATTTCCATTTCCATTCCCATTCGCTTTCGAATTCGGATTCAGATGCAGTGCGATGTGTGTGTGCGTGTGTATGGCCATTAACCATTTATGATGCGCATGTCAGCGTCTGAATTCCAGCTCCGGGCAGCATTCGCAGGACTCGCAGGACCCGCCGTCGCACTGATTTCCCAGGCGACTTTCCCGCTGCTGGCCGCTTTAATTCGGCAGCCGGGCTTAAGAATCAGAAGACAATTAATCAATTGCCCGATAAGTACGATTTAATTGGGGAGCTCTCGATGAGTGAAGTGACTTTCGACTCCTCCTCGGAGGAGGCACAGTTTTTTGATGCCCATAATCAAGAGTCTCCTGGCTTGCAGAATTTAATAAAAACCAACGTTTGGTCCTGGGGAATTCGGTTTCGGGGCTCGGCTTTGGCTCAGGCTCTGGCCTCCTTTACATCGCCCTAAGCGCTTGGCATTTTGGCTGGGTTTTAGCAAATTGCAGGGAGGCAGTTGCCCCAACCCGAACCCAAGCCCAAGCCCAAACCCAAATCCTAGCCAGAACGAAACCGAAATGAAAACTAAAACGTCGCATTTCGCACTCACATCTGCAGAACTGCATTCGAGTCTGGGTCAGCAGTTTGCGAGTGTGCTCCTGGTCTCTGTGTTTCTGGCAACTGAAAAGGAAAGCGGTTGTGCGGCGGAAAAGGAAGTGGGTAAATAGTGCAGGAGGAAGTGCACAAATAAATATTTGCAAATGAAACTGAACAAGGAAATGGCAGCGCCATGTGGCAGCGACAAGCGCTAAAACGTTTTCTACATGTGTCCGAAACGATAATAAATGCGCCTCTTTTTTCCTGCCACGCAACAATTTGCAGCAACCCTGAGCCCAAAATACCTCGCAGGGAATTCCTTGACAAATTCGTGCGTTGTTTAAGTGCTCCGCAATGGGTCGAAATGGTTGCCTAAATACCCATACCGAAACCACTCAAAAGATTATTGATTACTTTCTCTTAGGGCTATCTTTTTAACCATTCGGAATCGCTACTTAAATTCCCCGAAATGAACACAATTTATCGGGAAGGAAAGTAAGTCTGCGCTCGAGACATGATTGAAAATTTAATGCCCAACCTTAAAGCCAAAGATTATCGCCAGTGAATCAAATTAATTCGAGTGCAGAAATACCAGATAAAAAAGGAGCAGAATATGTAAAGGCAAAAATGCTAACCAACTGAATTATTTTCAAATCATTCTAGGCAAAAGCAATTTGCATCTCAATTGGTGCTCAAAAATCGAGGGGCGACGAGGGGAACATCGAGGGGGTTCGATGGTACGATGGTACGATGGAGGAGATATGGTGGAGAATGCTGCCACAAAGCGGCAATCAGTAACAGTTATAGCGGAAAATAGCTATAATATGTATAGGGCTGATATGAATATCTGGCCCAAAACAGGCAGAAAATTGCAAAAGTGCCTAAAAAGAATCCACAGAAAGGGGGCCGCTCGGGTGGCAGGCGGCTGCACACATGACTGAAATTAAAATAGCAACAGCAACAGGACAGCGGATGAGGATGGGGATGGTTATAGGGATGAGGAGGTGGAGGTGGGTGGTGCGAGGGGTAAGGGGCAACCACACAAAAGCAATTTCGATCAGGCACAAAGATAAGGAGCGAATCCGAGCAGAGAGCCAACGCAGCACATCAGTTACAAAAATGTAGGCTGCCCCTCAAGACCCGAACTCCCGGAGAACCACACCGGGCCCACACCTCAACAAAGGGCCGTGAAAGCGAGCCAGATAAGGACGAGCCCAAAAAAAAAAAGAAAGGCGAAAGAGCCGAACAGGAGCACACAAGGATGCGCTGGAGGATTCGTCGTGGTTAGGCCTCCCTTTCTTTCTCCTTCTCCTTTTCCCGCCCCCCCTTTTTTTTCTGCGGCTGCTGTAGGTGAGCTGAAATTATGCAAATCATCGTAATACTTTCCCGGCGAAAGCAAAGCGGAAGGAAATTGTGTAAAGGCGGCAAGCGACTGCCGCTCCGCTCAGCTCAGCTCAGCTCAGTTCAGCTCGACTGTCTGTCGGTCTGTCTGCTGCTGGCAGCCTTTTCGGCGGGCTACAAAGCAAATAATTGCCCCAGAAATTGGGGCCATGCAAACCGTAATGTAATGGAGCCGTTTCTGCCCGCTCCGACCCGCTCCGCTTTGAACGTCGTCGCATGTGTAGTCCTAATGATGATATTTCGAAAAGGAACCGAATCAAATAAAGCGCCTGGCGGCGTGGAAAACAGCAGAATGAAGTGGATGCCGAGCGGGTGTTCGCTCAAGCGACCGCAGTCAATGGGGGAAAGCTTAAAGACTCGCTCTCTCTGGGCAGGAAAGAGTTTAAGCCGCCGCCGCGCAGTCGAGCAGAAAGTGCACACCCCCCGCCTTCCTTCCCGCTTCCTTGGCTTCCGCATCCTGTGGTTTCGGCAAAAATTTAATAAACGTCAAGCTGGGCGCCCGAGAGCCCGACCGACGGACGGAGCACTGCACCTGCCGTTGACCGCATTCAACGGAATGCCGCTGGAAAGTTGGGAAGGCGAAAGGTGGTTCTCCGGAATGCACACACTTTACGTATACGTAACGTACGTATACGTAATGTCCACACCAGTCGGCGGAAAATATGCAATATAGCGTATACGACCCCTGACACATTTGGGACAAGCAAGTCCGAAGTCGGACTGACATCCCTGATCCCGAATATCAGGAAACTTCATAAGTCCCGCCGAGATTGCCGCCTAAGAGCCATCTCTGATTTATGGTCTTTGGCTCGCTTAACTCGCCATCGCTCATGTGCCGCGCCGGCCTTATAATTGCACTTCGCAACACGGACCATTTATAAATCTAAGACTTGCAAAACTTTTCCCATTTCCCCGATTATTTTGCGCCACATTAACAAGCTTATTAATCGTTGCCCGCAACGCGCGGCAACATCGAGCACGTCTCTTGACTCGGAACTCGGGATTCGGGCTTCTGAACTCGGGACTCGGGCTTCTGATCCTGGAGTGAAGGACGCGTGAAATTGTCAATGTGTTGGCCACACATCCACACACACAAGCGTTTTCCGCACAACCACAGCCATGCGGGGAATTTAGGAATTTTATTGGTCCCCCTGGCGGGCGCATACCTTTTTTGAATAGCGCGACACATTAACTTAATAATTTAGTGGGTGTCGAGTGGGCTGTTATAAATATTTATAAGCGGTGCGGGGGCGGGGGACGGGGGGGGCGTGGCCTGAGTGGGCCGTCGACGGCAGCCCTAGGTCTGCTGCTAAGAGCTACTCCAACTATCCTGCCCGAACTGGCTCATCCCGGGTCCTCCGGCTGCTCAGGCTCAATTGCGCGTAAAAGTCAAATGTCTCTGCCTTGCCCAAAAAGCTTTCTTGCCACTTGCCACTTGGCACCCACTCACACACTCGCACTCCCGCACACTCGAGCAACCCACAGAGCTCCCACTCTCGGATTTCGATACGCAAAGTTTGCACGTTCCGGCATTCAGCCCTCTAAGTCGGCGTTATGTATGCGCATGTATTAGTTTTGGCCGCCATTCCGCACGCCGTGCAAACGGAAAAGCTTACAGTCGTTTAGGGACTTACCGGGCAAATATAAATTTATGAAACATTCGACAAGAGCACTTCGCCCGGATAGCTGGAGATTGGTTGCGACGATGCCATTGCACCTTTGCTTTCCTTTCCTTTCACACAAGCCAAACAGTCGGGGCATTTTGGCCCTGTTATTGCCAACAAACACAATCTGCAGCCACAGCAGGACTTGTTGTTGGTCGGTCACTCGACATGGCTCATGGCCGAAATCAATGCTAAACCAAACCAATGCTAAACCAAACCGAGCCAAACCGAACTAATGTTGTTTGGGGAACAAACATCGATAATGAAATCATGGGCGCTGGGCAAGTGGAAAGTGATTCGGTTGGCTCTCTGGTCTCGTTGTGGCATCGGGCCAATAACTAATTTCATTTACTCTGCCAGGCACATTTGCAAATCGGACAGCAGCATATGCACACCAAAGTAGCCATTATCCCCCTGTGGGGGAAGCCTCCTCCAGGTTACCTGGTCTTCATCTGCAAGTAATTGAGGCATCTGATAAAGCTTTTAAAAAAACACGACAGTTATGCTATTTTATCGATTTTGGGGCGCACGAGCAAGTAATTAGGTTTGAAGAGCATGAATAAAAATTCGAAAATGCGTTGCAATTATCACGAAACAGTTGTGCACACACAATCAATTAAAAAACGAGCAGTATAAATAAAGCTGAATTCCCTCAGCTGGTGAGGTAAACCTTACGGAAATGCTGAGAACTCTGTTGCCGCTGCTGGCACTCGTTGCCCTGGGTAAGGGAAATATTAGTAGGAACTAATGTAAAGGGAAGCTAAGATCCCTCCTTCCAGCACATGGCCAGTGCCGCTTCACCAGGGCTCAGGTTGAAAGAACCACCCGCATCTTCATGCTGCGCACTCAGAACCGCCTTTCCCTCAAGCGGTCCGATAGCTCTGCGGTCGGCGAGGTCCTGCAGATGTGGTGCAGTCCGAGGGACATCCGGACCACCACCTGCCAGGCGGGCCAACCAGCTAGACAGGGCCAGCCGGCCCGGCCACCGGCATTCCGACCACCGCTGCCCATGACCTGCACCACTCCCCCTGCCGCCTTGACGACTCCCGTTCAGGATCGCAGCTGCCCGGCCACAATGTTCCGGGTGGGCTACAACGTGGGCAACAACCAGTTCGCGGAGCTCTACCGCGCCTGCTTCGACACGAGGGCGGTTAGGGCCATCTTCGTGGACCACCAGGTGTACGCCAAGACCTTCTGTAAGTAGTGCCCACAAAAAACTAGAAAGAATCTTTTCTATTTAAAATAACCATAAAAGACCAGGTACCAGATGATGTATTTTAATTATTTTATTATAATATGTTATATATTATTTTTATATTATAATATTATATTATTTTATGCCACCCAACTACTTTTTTAGTTCCCCAGCGACCTTGTGTACAGTTCTCCTCCGACGGAGTGATCAGTGGTGCCGACGAAGCGAGTTACACAACGCGGAACATCCACGCGACCTTCAAGCTCCTCTTCGGCAACAACCAGAACTTCATTCCCAACAACCGGGACACGATCATCAACCGGGGTCACCTGGCCGCCTCGGCGGACTTCCTCTTCGGGGACCAGATGTGCGCCACCTTCAAGTACGTGAACGCGGTGCCGCAGTTCAAGACGATCAACGACGGCAACTGGGAGGCGATCGAGCGCTGGGTGCGCAACTCGGTGAGGGGCAACCAGTTCGTGAACGTGCGCACGGGGGCCAGGGACGTCCTCTCGCTGCCCTCGCCCCAGGGCAACAAGAACGTCCTCCTGAGCGGCAACCGGAACCCGGTGCCGCTGTGGATGTACAAGATAGTCCGTAACTCGAACAACCAGCCCACCGTGGCCTTCCTCACCTACAACAACATCTACGCGAGGCAGCGTCCGGCGGCCCCCAACTTCTGCCAGGCCGTCAACTGCCCCCTTCCACTGCCCAGCACGGCCGCCGCCGGGTTCACCTTCTGCTGCAACCCCGCCACCTTCAGACCCTGAGAACCCAGAACACAGAATCCAAAACCAAGCACCGATCGTCAAATAAAGATTTCGAACACTTAAGACAAATTAAAGTCGAATGAAATAGACTTTTACGTCCGCTTGTTGCGAATCAATTTTCATAAATCGTAAAAGTTCGCGTGGCAGTTTAAAACGCATCCGAGGCGCCGCCAATCCATGCCTCATTCGGAATGGACTCCAGCCGGCCGTTTTAATGGTCATTCAGCGGCTTCTCATAAATTCAGGCCCCCATCCCCCGCCACCCGCACAACTCACTTTTGGCCCATTTAAATTCAAGCTGCGATTGTGCGAAGGCGAACGCAAACGGGAACGCGAACGCTTTTCAATGCGTGCGAGTGCAATAAAGGCCATGGCAATTGCTTGGCCGGGGGTTGCGCCTAAAAGTAGACATTAAATAAATTATTCAGCAGGGCCGACTGCGCGCCGCTTTAAAATACGCAACGGCTGCGAAATTGTTTTGTGCGTGCGGCAGTCTGATGGATATCGAAATGGAGAACTGGAGGACTGGAGGACACTGGGAGCTCATAAACGTGCGGAATAAATTTAGCAGCCCGGACATGCGTTGAACTGGGCTCTCATAAAACCTAACAGTTGTAATTGTGCTGTAAACACGCAACTGAATGGCATTGTGAATGGGCTGAGCACTTGCAACCGCCCATCCAGCCGCCCATCCGACCACCCACATCCTGCCCATTTCTATGCATCCGCCCTGCAGTGCGGCACAATTTAATTTATGCCCTGTTTTGTGGCCGGCTTGTTGATTTTGCTGCCTTGCCCCTTTTATTTTTATTGACCATTAGAGTTCAGCAGAAGCAGAATCACAAGCCCACAGCCACCAAGACCCACCAACCACACGATTTGAGTCGCAAATTTTATACGGCATAATTCGGTTCGCCCGGCGAGCGAGCATGCATTAAAAGTCCCCAAATAGCGCCAAATTGCTCGTAAGCTGCGGAAATTGCGTTACGCCCGCTCAGAGAAGCGAGCATACTTCGCCGAGCATTAACCGCTTCGCAACAAGCCCATTAAGACCACAGCCACTTAGACGTCTCCCGAGCAGTTGGACATGGACACGGACCGATTCGATGGCCAGACAACGACTGTCAGACGAATAAAACACGGCCATTATTCAGCCCCCGTCTGGATCAGATTTTGTAGCAGATACGAGTACCACGAGAATCTATAAAGAACACAGGTTAGGTAGTTACCGCTCGCCCCAACGCCTCTCCTGCCGGTCCAATGAACTCCCATCTGGACACCAAATCCAAATCCGAATCCATATGCAACTATAATACTGAGCACTGCTCATCCATGCAAAACCCGTATTTATTTCCCTCTTAGCCAGCATTCGGTTCGTCTCTGGAAAGTCAAATGAAGTGTTTCGGGGAATAAAATTCATTGCCAGAGTCGAGAAACGAAAACATTTGAAAATTAGTACGCATATCCTGGTGGAAATATATTTCCAGTTGCAGAGACTCCCGTCAAGTGCAAGCACAATGAAGAATAATAAAAGCGCTTTTCGGCATTTAAGCCAAAAGAAAATGGGCAAATACGTATACGGCTGAAAATAGTCTGTTGTCTCTGTCCAGAATGGCTGAATGCAGACACGTGCCCACAAGCTTGGCCAGAACAATGGGAGCTGACAAAGTGAGGCGGCCTAAATGGTATATCAGGGGCGGACCCAGGGGGGTGGTCCTGGGGGTCCGGACCCCCCCAAAATCTCAGAATTTTTCAAATTCCCTTACAGCATTCGGTCTTTTAACCATATAAACTAAAAAAATTTTTGATCGGACCCCCCCCAACCTAAAAAATTTTCGTTCGGACCCCCCAAGATTTTTTTCTGCGTCCGCCCCTGTGGTATATAAATACGGGAGGCACAGCTTTTGGATCTACAACAACCATGGGAGCTCAACAACTGCTGCTGATCGTGGCCGTCTCACTGGGACTGGGTAAGTTGCACTCATAGCTCTGTTTAAATGTTAAACTGTATGGATATCGATGAACTTATAGTAATGAGAAATCCTTCATTGATGGCGCACCTAAAAGGTTTGGCACAGGGATGTGGGATAAAGCAGTTGCAGCCATCGTTTAGTTCCTTATTAATGGTTTTCCCTGCTCTTCCAGTGCTCCTGTCGCAGGCGGACTGCCCGCTCTCCAGGGCGATGATCGAGGGCACCAACCGGATATTCACCAACCGCAACGCTGCTCAGCAGTACGAGCTGAAGCGGCTCCAGCGTGTCCGCACCAACGAGGTGCTCCACATGGTCTGCCAGCCGAACGACATTGTGCAGACGACCTGCCAGGCGAACACCAACTTCAGCCGACCGCTTCCGCTGCGATGCCAAAGGCCCATTGCCGCCTCCGCCACCGTGGTCACCGATGCCTCCTGCTCGGCGACCATGTACTCGGTGGGCCACAACATCGGCAACCGCCACCTGGAGCTGTACCGCGCCTGCTACGACCGCACTGGGATTCGCGCCCGCTTCACCACGCACTCGGTGTACCACAAGACCTTCTGTGAGTTCGGTCTCTATTTCTCTATAAAGTAGAGTAACTGACTTCCTTTGCTTGCAGTCCCCCAACGTCCTTGTGGAGACTTCACACGGGATGGAGTCCTCAGCGAGCGGGACGCCGAGAGCTTCCTGCCCCGCCAAATCTTCCGCACCTTCCGCACCATTTTCGGCAACCAGCAGCGCTACATTCCCAACGAACGCGACGTGGTGATCAACCGCGGACATTTGACGCCCTCGGCGGACTTCCTCTTCGCGGACCAGATGTGCGCCACCTTCAAGTACATCAACGTGGCACCCATGTTCAAGAGCATCAACGACCGCAACTGGGAGACCGTGGAGAGGTGGGTGCGCACGAGGATCAGCGCGGGCGGATCCCTGAGGATCAAGACCGGAACCAATGGCGACCTTACCCTGCCCGATCGCCAGAACCGCCAGCGGCGCATTATCCTGGGCACCCAAACGAAGAACGTGATGCCCCTGTGGCTCTACAAGGTGATCCGCACCTCCGCCAACGCACCGCACACCGTCTTCGTCACCCTGAACAACATCTTCGCCAGAGCTCGGCCCAACGCCCCCAACTTCTGCACCAGCATTCCCTGCCCCATCACCCTGGAGAACGTGGCAGCCGCCGGGTACACCTACTGCTGCAACGCCACCACTTTCAACCTTTGAACGGGGAAGAGCACCTTAACAATACCAGTTCGCAAGCAGCAGCACGAAATGGTAGGGGGTTCAATAAAGCACTTATAAGGAGGGGACAACCCTTTCCGAAAGAAATAATTCACATCGTTTGATAATGATTCTGATTTGTAGCGAAAATAATAATACATGTAAGTTCTTACTATCATAATTATGGTGCTATGCAGGGCTCTCCCTTGTTATTGCCCTGCCGCTTTTCATTTCCAGCACAAGCTGATTTAAAAAACGGACTGAGTCACGTAAACTCCGCCCACCTCGTGATGAAATCCGAGTGGGTACCGAGCGGTTTCAAGAGCGGAGTCTCTTTTATTTCCCTGCTGCACCTCAGATTCAATTTCAGATAGGCTTTATGAGAGCTGATGACAAAGTGCAACCACACAAAGTCCACAGTACGTAGGATGCAGCTCGAAAGGAACTGGGTGGAAGGGCAACTCCTTTGTTATTCAGCGTGCGCCGGCAGGGTAAACAAGCCACCGCGATGGTCGATGATAAGCGCAGATAACTCGGGGTGAAAGGCACGGGGGAAAAGAGATGAGCTCGGCACTTCCATTGAGCAACCGGCCAAGCCGCTTATCACCGATGACCTGCGGAGCGACCGGTGCAACCCCGTATTGCTAAATCTGGGGAGATAAGAAAAGCTCTGGCTGTAGAGCCGTGTATGATCGCAATCCCATTTGGATCCACAGTTCTTGCTAGAATTTTAAGTTGTGAACATGAAACTGCGAAAATATCAGTGTGTCTGCCTAGTTCTGTTTATTTGTAAGTGGATTGTATAGAGGATTGCCATTAAATTATTTAAAAAAAAAACACTTTTAGGTGCCGAAAACGCCTGGACAAGTTGTCTTATTGACCAGGCGCACTTGTTGGAGAACTTTATCTACTTGAATTCCAACAACGGGGTCTTCGATATCCAGCGCAGCGATATTGTGGCCAATGACAAAACGGTGTACCTCCTGTGCAGGTCGGGACTTCACCCGACCAGCTTCCATTGCGGGAGGGACAACGACTTCCATCCTCCGTTGAGCACGGCAAGGTGTTCGTCGCCCAGAGCTTCGGTTGTTCCAATGCCAGATACCTCTTGCCTGAGGCTCTACTCCTCGTATGCCGTGGGATTCTACTACAATGGGCACTTTATGGAGCTGTTCAGGGACTGCATCGATAGAGACAGAATGTCGGTGCAGCACTCCATCTACAAGGTTCACCGCTATATTAATTGTAAGTCTGATATAGTGAATTGACATCTTGACAGCGCTTTGTTTTCAGCCGCCCCTCGTCCCAGCAGCACCTACTTTAACAGGGACGGCTTTATGTCCCCGCAATTGGCGGCGGCTTACAAGAGGAAGGTGTCCGAGGACTGTCTGACCAACATCCTAGGCGGACCGCAACAGAACTGCGTGTTTGATCGCGGACACGTGACACCGAATGCGGGCTTCATCTTTTCCGAGCTCAGGAGATCGACGGATCGGTACATAAACGTCTTTCCCCAAAACAGTGCAGTGAACATTGGCAACTGGAAGAACGTCGAGGCGTGGGTAGGAAAACTAGTCACGGGACATTACGATTCGCCCCATCGCACCTACGATCTCCTGAAGGTTTGCACAGGGGTCCTGGGACAGCAACAATTAGAGCACACCACAAGCAATAGCTTGGTGGATATCTACCTGGCGGGCAACCAAATTCCCGTCGCCAAGTGGTCTTACAAGATAGTTGGTCACCTCTCTGGAGACAAGTGGGTTATGTTAACCCACAATCAAGTAGCGCGGCCTACTTTGCCGGAAATAAATCAGGTCTGCATCAATGTTAAATGCCCTGATGGTCTCAAAGAGGATGGCGTGGGCCACACCGTCTGCTGCGAACCATACGACTTCATTCAACGGAACGTGGCCCATTTGACCGGCGTTTGCTGAGTTGCGAAACATCATTCCCAGCGACCCAGAGTTATTCAGATTATATTCCCACGTCTATGAATAAAGCTTATCAGCTGTGACGCTTGATTTATTACTGTCGGGGTTCTCAGAACTTCAATGATAAGAAATGTATTTAATGTAGGTGAAAGGTTATCGCCAATGTAATTATACATTAATTATTTCAAAAGGCCACTCAATAAATGGGAGTGTTATCTAAGAACAGGTTTTATGGCACACGCGTGGCATAAATGTACCTGGTGTTATCACTGCCAAAAACGCAGATCATTAGAGGGTAAGATAAGATGGCAATCATTTAATGAGTACCACCAAATGATATGTAGGAGTGCTCAACTCAGTTTCCGTTACCGGCTGTGCTCATCTTTGAGATCTCGTTTGCAAAGGCAGTACAACTTGTCGGTCTTGTCGTCGACGCAAGTCGAAACCTTTTCGTACCGGTCGAGCCGGCTTATGGTGGGCACCTGGACCTCCACGGACTCCGTGAGATTGTTGAACACCACGGTGGCCCGGAAGTCGGCTGTGTTCTGGTGCACCTTGAACATGGTGCGATAGGTGGCCACCTCGGCGACAGGAACGTCGTCGAAGCTCTGGTCCAGCCCAATCTGTATCTCCGTCTCGTGGATGTACTTCAGGGTGAGTTCCGCGCAGATGTTGCTGAGGTTCCTGCCGGCCAGATACTCGTTGATCCGCCGCACCACCAGGGGGGCGATCCGCCTGGCCCACTGCGTCCGGAGCCGCTTGAAGGGCACGCAGGTGCAGAAGTGCACCGGAATGCCGGCGTCCTCGCAGCTCCTCGACTCGTCGACCGGGAGGAACAGGGACTGGCACTTGGGGCAGTCGGCCGCCCGGGGAAGAGCCGCCCCGTCCGGAGTGCCGCCCAGCTCGATGATGTGCTTCAGGGTGTTGTGCAGGTCGTAGTTGGAGGTCAGCCGGTTGCGGTTCAGCTGGAGGGCGCGGGCGTAGTCCGGGTACTGGTCCCGGAACCAGGGCGGCAGGTAGAGGAACATCGCCGGCAGACGCTCCTCCAGGAACCCACTGGACAGGGCCGTGAGGCGCCCGAAGCGGGAGCCGTGGTCCGACAGGAACACAACGATGCTCTGCTCGAGCACGCCGTCCGCCTCGAAGTCGAGCAGGTACTGCAGCACGTAGTCGTCCATCTTGGAGGGCATCTGAAAGCTGTCGTGGCTGAAGCTGTTCGACCAGAAGAGTCCCCACACGGGCCGCTCGTCCACGAAACGCCGGGCGAAGTCCCTGGCCAGGTCGTAGACGTAGCTGCTCGTGATCCGCCGCCCGATGCAGTACTTCGACGAGCAGTTGCGGCACTTCCAGGTGTCCATGCCAGACTCGAAGGCCTTCAGGTGGGGCCGCAGGTAGAAGTCGGTGGGCTGCTCCACGAAGCCGGGACGCATGTAGTTGAAGGTTTCGATGTGCGGCTCGTCCTCTGCGAAGGCGGTCAGGTAGCTGGCGTTGCGGAAGTCCTTCCACAGGAGGGGCATCTTGTCCAGGCAGCCCTTCTTCTGCCAGTCGCACACCTTCTTCTGGGCCGACTCCTTGCTGTAGCCCGTCAGGATGGCCATCAGGTTGGGGAAGGTGTTGTCGCCGATCTGCGGGTACAAAGCTAGTTAACTGCGGATCCCAAAGCCACCCACCTCGTTGCGACCCACCTTGTTGTAGCCCTGCAGCTCGTACCAACCGCTGCCCGCGAGGAAGCGGCTCACCCGCGGCATGGTGCGCCGCAGGTTGATCCGCGACAGGCTGTCGATGCCGAACATGATCACACTGGGCTTCCGCTTGGCCGGCTCCAGGGAGAGTCCTGGGGGTGGAGGAGAGAGGTACTGGACGAGGCTGTAGGCGTCGGCCTGCAGGACATCCGACTCGTTCCCCAGACGGTGGCAGGCCACCATTAGGCCACGAACGTGCAACGGCACCTCGTAGCTCTGCGAGAAGTACTTTCGTTCCATTCTGCGAAATCAAAGGGTTGTCACTCAGCGGGCTAACTGCCAAAGATATCGGGAACCACTTACTTTTTATAGCTGTCGTGCTGCCGATCGCGCCTTATCTCCTGGTAATAACAGTTGAACTCCGCCTCGCTGTCGTTCAGCTTTTCGGAGGCCAGCGTCTCGTTGATAACCAAGAGGTACCGCTGCCTGCTGACATCATAGATCGGGGTCACCAGCGCCGACTCGTTGGAGCAGGTCTCGAACTGCTGGGGCTCGAATATGGCCATGGCTTCGGCCTCGAAGGGGTCCACGTACGGAATCTTGCACCTGGCGCTCTCCACGAAGAAGGAAGGCCGGACTTCATCGGTTTCTGGAAGACAATCAGTTGTGGAACCAACTGGTTCCTCGTCAAGTGATTCGGAGGAGGAAGCAAGTCCGGACACCTTGGCTGCCTTGTTGAATCTCTGATATTGGGTGTCTGCAGTCTGGCTGCTCAGACTGAGGATTAGAACTGCGGCTACGCAGCAGAGGCAAACCCACTTCAGGATCGGATGGAATAGCTTAAGCATAACTGTGCCTCTGGAGTTCTGTCGCAAAACTGGCAATAGCACCCACTGCCTGTTACCATTTACGGGTACGGACCACCAGCCAGTTGGCTGAACTTATCACCTCTTTTCCGCGTAAAAAATAACTAATTTTTTCTTATCGAAGACACGCTTCTTTCCGGAAGCAATGAATGTCAGAAAGCTTTTTTACGATGTTTGAAGGAAAACTTATATCTGACGGTAGCAACTCCAGTAATAAAGGGCGCAACTTACTATAATTGAATAATTGATTACAATAATCGAATAATCGAAGCTTTATCGTTGACAGCATCTAATCAAAGCACTTGACTAAAGGAATTGTTATACTGAATTGTTATACTGATAAATTTATTTGTTTGCTTAGTAGCGTTTGGTATTAAGTACAGAAGAAATGATCATAATCTTTTTTCATAAATTTTAACCAAACCGCAAGATTGGCAGGAGACTTTTTGAAATTTTAGATTCATTATCTTTTTGAATGCCTGGCATGGAATAACTCACAAGTGATATAGAGCCACTCGTTGTTTTAATCACTTTGATTTTAGCATCATGTACTGAAGCAGATCTGTGGGTGTTATTTGGGTTCATTTATTTTTTTTTATTTTAGCTATCATATTCATAGCTTTAAAAACTTTGCCGCTTCTGATTGTTTAAATTTTAACCACCATAGCCAGCGTTGCCAACTGCCTTACTTAGCACAGAACGCACCCAACTAGCGTTGCCAACTGTTTTGACTTAGTGAGTAAATTCACCCCAGCAGCTGTGCCACAATCCAAAAGGTTGTTATATTAACTGGTTACTAACTAAATAACGGGAAACTATCGTTTAAAGCGTATGCTAACAGTTCTGTCTTTTAACATTTATATCTTAAAGGAAAATCATGTTAGTCGCTATCTGTACTTATCGATGTTTCTATCGATGAATCCACCTCTACCAGCCCCATCCCCGTTGAATTTTTTTTTGTTTTCAAAAAAATTTTGGTGTGTTCGGTCTGCGTCGCGCATTGTTGAACCAAACGGATCGAAAAACTGCTAAAATGCAGCTGAGCCGTCGAAAAATCGGGGAAAAATAAATCGCGACGAGTGTAAGACGCGAAGGCAATGAAAATTCCGAGTTAAAGTGTGTGAGTTGCAAACGCAAAGAGAAAAGCAATCAGAAAGATATCCTGGCCCACGCAGGATGGCTGTGTGAAGCAAACGCGAGGATTAAAAGGAGGGAGGATAAGAAGAAGAAGAAGCTGAAGGCGGAGCCGCATCTGCCGCAGTCAAAACACAAGAGGAAATCCAACAAAAGCGAGATAAAGTGCATTCAGCGCAGGGAAATGTGAAATGTAAACGATGTTGCAACGTCGCGTTGCTAGTAAAAAGCAAGTAAAAGCAGAAGCAAAAGCAAAAGCATAAGCAAAGTCAGAACAAACAAAATACACAAAGTGTGAGAGTGAGAGAGAGAGAAGGAGTGCTCGGGTGTATCTGTGTGACGACTAGTGCGTGCGTGTGTGTGCGTCCACAACAAATTATCGTTTAATTTCCTTCGATTTTGCACAAACAACAAGCTGAAAAAGAGCAAAGAGAGCGGGTGACTTTTGAAGCCAAGGGGATGTCCTCTCCATCACCACCCCCACCCTAAGGTCACAGGTCACAAGCCAGGAGGTGAGTACATTTTAATACTTAATCTATACCTTACAAAACGATGAGTTTTGACCTCGCTGCAAGTCGCGTAGGAAACGAATGCCAAATTTAACCAAAATAAGAAAAAAAACACGTTTGCCAACGCCAACAGCAGCGACAACAACAACTACCCATGTCCAATTAAAGTTGCAGAGGGCGAAAAAAGAGAAAAGAAAAACCGGCATGCCGGCTGCTGCAATTCAGAGCTGCTCAAAGTTAAACGAGCCAAGTAACAGCAGAAACAACAAAAACCACGCAGCAACTACAGTGAAACTTCCCGAGGGACGGGCCAGCAATGTATTTTAAAAGCAATGTGAATTGTTGCCGATATTTTTGGACTGGGTTGCAAACATATTTTTTTTTCGCTTGCATTCATAAAGCGAACCCTATTTAACATTGTAATAAAATCCTTTTAGTGCCACAACGCTTAACAGAATATTACTTAATCTGGAAATAAGTCTAGATATGAAAGTACAACTGTATACAGGCTGCACAATTCGCGTGAGTGTTGGTGCACCTCTGTGTGAGTGTGTTTGTTAGCAATACACCAACTCGCGGAGCACTTTAAATATTTCACCTAACTACACACAGAATTGTGCCTGGGCTGCGGTTTTTTCTGCGCCGCCAACTTTTGAAATGAAAATAATCATAATCAAGGGCTGGGAGCCCAAGGGAGGCTCTCAACAATGCCACACCCACCCGACTCCCCCAGCACTTTTGCCCAACTACTTGGTTTTTCACTGGAAAAGCCAGAACGTATGAATGAGTTAATCAGAGAGCGGAGGCAAAGCGCCAAAAGGCAACAGTCAGCAGACGCAACGTCTACCCAGCCCTCCGGTTGCCATCATCAGCAAACAACGAAATGGCAAAAACAATTGCACTAAAGTTTCACTAGAATCTGCAATGAATCAGAAGGAAAATCCTGAAAAAAAGGGGTGAAACTGAAAACTTTATACCCTTTATACCAAACTTACACAAAAAGTATTTCAAAGTAGAAAAGAAACATAAGCATACATTTCAGTTAAAGAAGAGAAATATTAACAAATTGGTGTTTTTTCCAGCACATTATAAACTGTTTTTTTACAAAATTTGTTCCTTTTTATATTGCCATATCTCGAAACTTTTCGAGTTAGGAAGACGTCTATTCAGGGAAGAGCATCTTAATACACGGGACTGTTATCTTTTTTAATATCTTCACAGAAGTGTGTAACTTTTTATCAACTCATCACCGTGTTGTAGCTGAATAACTCATTGGTCTCGCAGTGTATCAAATTCCATGACAAAGATCCCCACGATGAGTCTGCTATAAATTGCGATGGCATTCTGCGCTTAACGGGTTTTTTGTTTGTTACATTTTTCGACTTTTGCGCCATTGACGTAATTGTCAGACCCGGCCCAGACACACTACTCAACTGAACCGTCAGTCTGACACCGCCACTCCAGAGTTCCCAGTTCCCATTTCCCGTTTCCCGGTTCCCTGTTGCAGCTCCATTTAGCCATTTTCATTTCCAACTCGCTCCCGTCTGCCGTTTTCAAGCTCAAGAGCAGCAGGCTTTGCCTTGGTCTTTTCATGAATTTGCATTTGCGGTCGCCGGCAAAATACTCGTATTTTCAACGGGTATTTTTCATAATTTTCTGCGCTCTCCGATTTTTCCAGCGCATTTTTCCTTTTGGCTTGCCGGCACGGTTCGTTGCACTTTTGTCAAGCTTTCGGTAAAGTTTTCGGCTGAATTTACGTATTATTGTCGGAATCGTACAAAAGTAATGAATGGTCTGATAAATTCTGGATGCCTAGTAAACCCAGCAGACCAAACAGCTAAGAGCAGAGCGGAGCACCGCCGACTGCCAATTTGGGCGGACCACAGGCAATTAAAATTTAATTTGCCCAAACCCCGAGATATAGCACATAAACCGCAGTATTAAATTTTAACAACGCAGCAGGTCCTGCGCCCAAAGCGCCTACTGGCTGGGCCACTTTAGAGCCCAACACTTCCCAACAACTCCGCCGCCCCGAGCACAAATTAATTGAATTGAGACACATTTGCGAGTGGCCGCAAGAAGCGGAATTATTTTGGGAACGATTCCTGTGGGCGGCTGGCACATCAAATACATTTATAATTTTATTAGGAGAGTTTTTTCCATTCGCCGGAATGACAGGCTCAGCAAAGGTCCTTGGCAGTTAATGTTCAGTATTCACGCACACCATGACAGACAAACAAGGTACACTAAGAGAAACATTTAATTCTCTGTTTTTTATGCATCGATGATTAAGAACCAAATATGTAAATTTATGTTTACTGACTTTAAAAGTAGCTTTTCAAAGTGCTGAATGACTATTAATTTATATGAGTGCAAATGAACAATAATTTTTCCAAGTGTCGAAATGAGTCATTCGCAGTCAAAGTCAGATGAGCCGAGGAGTGTGAGGCGCCGCTAAGGACCGGCCATAAAACAGCTCGTGTTTGCCTGTCGCGCAACCTTGTAGCAGAGTGTATTGTTTATGTGTCGGCTGCACGCTGCGGTTCCTGCAAAAGCCGCTCCGTCCTCAGTTTTTGGCCCACTGCGGGTGTGTGCTAATGACGCCGCTCTTAACCCATGTTAACCGAACACAGGCGTGTCCGATTCCTCCCGGCAGGTAGCCGTCGGGTCAAAGGCAGACAACGAGTTTTATGAGCACTTGACAACTCTATAAACACAGAGCGCTTATCACCCCTAGAACACCTCCCCGACCCCAAACCCCTCGTTTTCTGTTCCACCGAAAGTAACACTTGAGCCGCAATTTTCACACGGCTTTAATGTTCGGTTTTATGGCTGATATGCCAGTTAGATAGCTTTAAGCCCGGCTCAACTCCCAGTTCGCCCCGAAGACATTGGCCCCAAACAAGGACAAAAGAAATATGGCAAAATGAAAGCATTGCCAAAGAAAAACCTCGCAGAAGATGAAAAACTTCCAGACTAACTTTTCATTTGGGGAGCGGAGCTGGAGCAGCCGGCTGGTCCAACTCAATCCGAAGATGTTGTGGGGGTTTCTGTGTGTGTTTTTTCTGCCTTCTCGAGATCTCCAAGTTGCATGTTGTCAAAATTGCTTTGACGTTTTATTAGTTTCCAACAGGGCCCCCGAGCAGCCGCACTCTAACAAACCGACAACATCATCATCGTCATTGTCGTCAGCTCCCATGGCCAGCAAAAACAGAAAATCGACAGAAAATTTACATAAGAAACGTTGAAGGATGCTCCACGGGCCGGGCACACTTCACTCTAGCCGGCGCTAAAAATAACAAAAACAAACTCCCAATGCGCTGACCAAAGCGGAATGAATAACACTCGCATAACGAATACGACTCCGTCGCCGGGCACATTCGAAAATAGTTTGCGGCATGTCAAAAAGCCAGTGACCGCATTAAATTTTCCTCTCCGACAAACGCTTTTTTGGAACACTTCCAGAGGCCCGGCGAAAAGCCGCATAACCAGGCATCTCAAGCGTTCGAGTTTGATCAGCCAGCCAGCTGAGACTCCGGAGATTTACGTCCGCATCCAGCGTCTTTTACACTTTTTATTTTTGGGGAGAGAACGATTCGAGCGATGCTCGCGTGCAGTTCGATTTCCCAGGCAAATCACTGATTAATCGCACGAAATGAGAATTTATTGGGTAAATCAAACGATCAAAAGGTGTTTTGAGAACAAATCGGATTGTGAAAGATGCTAAAATTAGCCATTACAGCAATGTGCTTCAATATCTCCCTTCAGGAAGTCTAGGGTGCAGCTAAAAAGATTTGTCGAAAATAAATTATAGCCCCGGCTAATTCCTTTAATTTAATTTGATTTATATTTCAATAAAATCTCTTACATAGGTACGAATGTCTGCCAAAGGGCATCTAACCATCGACTCACCGAAGCAAAACTTTTCCTGTGCCTTTCTACAGACCAAATGGAGCACACGGCGCAACTCCCAAAAATGAGATTTGTGCACATGGCTATTTTTGTGGCCATTGCAGCCAGGCACAGAAAAAAGTTTGAAAAAACCATGACAAACAGTTCAAAGGCCCAACTCGTTGAGATATTTTTTCCGGCGTCAAGTGTGTGTAGTTTGTTATTTTTAGCACAAACGCTGGACGCACCCAAGGGGGGCAAGGGGGCAAAGATACTGCACATGACGGGGGGAATAATTAATTCATTGCATTGGCCAAACAGTTTTGGTCGGCTCGGTTCAGCTCGGCTCACCTCGCTCTGAAATGGGTCAGCAATTGTGAGCCGGCAGGCGGTTTCCTGCCTTTTGTTTGGCGATCATGATTATGACGACGACGCCCACGTTGCGTCACTCTCCCCGTGCCACGCCCATAAATATGGGCCCATCGAGTAATTTGCCCTTTCGGCCTCTGGTCCAGAATCAGATAAATTTGGTTGTTGCGTTTTATTGGCGTGTTAAATTGTTGCAGTCGCAGCCTGTGTGTCTATCGATTGTCTGCCCCACAGGCCCAACTCATTAAGTGAAACCGCCATCGTCTTTTGACGGCCCCCTCTGTATTTGCCCATGTGCCGTCTTGGCTCTTGTAATTCAACTGATTATGAGATTGTTGACTTGTGAGCGCCTTCTCTTCCAGTGCGTGGCGTTGGGGAAAGGGGCAAAGTGCTGGGGCTTGCGCTATATATAAGTACAATGGAAGTCAGAATAATAGTACTATGAAGCTATCATGCTTTCTCCTTTAAACTGTTAAAAGTACTGGGGATGCAAAGCTTGTGTTTTATTTGCAAAAAGAGTTTGTCTCTAGTTATAGGAGATACTTATGCTTTGCACTTAAAGACTTTTAAATGATTTCGAATGTTCTTTTATGGCCATTGGAGTGAATCCTGATGTTTTGGCGCCCATTGTTGCTACATGGGTATGAGTTATTTTACGCAGTTCCCCTTGCTATTGAGGTTTATTTACATTTCGCTTTGGCGCAGCTCTTCGCCATGGTCAATGGCCGATCCGCTGCATAAAG